ATTTGAATTCCATTGTCTTGTTTTACATGACATAAGCCGAATACCCATGAAATTTGCTGTTCAATGAAATAGTAGTGTTTTTTTAGAACATTGAAAAAAACAACGAATCTCAAATAAAAACATATATTTCATGTTCTTTATGTTTCTTGAGCTTTAATATTTGGTTTTTTATCAATTTTGTTTTCATTGCCAACTTGCGCCGGCCGGATTTGGGTCATTAATCTCTTGCCAACGCTTCAATAGGATTTGACCAATAACACTAGTCAACACGATTTTCCGGCACGTTGGGGAGGGTTTTTTGGTTTTTTTAGTTTTGTGGGGGGCTGGGTTGGCTAAAGGGTTGTACTTTGGTACCTGACGGTGTTTTGGCAGTTGGGCCCGCCGCCTTCGGTTTTTTTGTCTTTTTCTATTTTAGGTTGGTTGTTTTGCTCAGTCTCTCCTAGTTTAATGGCGTCCTTACGCGCCATTACGCACTTCCAATGGGACGTTTTTTTTTGACTTTCGGGTTTTTAGTCAAATTCGTTCCGCCCATTTTTGCTTCGTTTTTCCCCGGCGTCCGGGGGTTACTTTTTTTCTTCATCGTCTTTACACCGACGTAGTCTGTAGTGGCGCTACCTCTAAAAATAGTTAAATAAATCCAGACTCAAAACCTCAAAAAAAGTCTGCCATGAAAACCATAATCTTTAAAAAATTTTAAACCCCATACATCAGAAAAGCGGTTTGGACCTTGAGGAAAAAAAAGTTCGATTTGCGGTAGTAATCCATGAACCACTTGCTAAAACTAGGCTCTGGTTCATGGATTTGCAGTTGCAATAATGTATTTGGTATTCCAGCATAAGATTTCGATGAGATTTATATTCAGTTGGACAGTTGACCATGGCAAAACGTCGATCTTTTCCGATAAAAATCAATTCCTAGCGAGCTTTTCTGGGTATTTTAAGTCATTATCCTGTTAAAAGATCCTTTTAACATGAATTTTTCAACTGTAATATGAATTTAATGTATTCTAAAGTATACTTACAAACATACTTTCGCTCGAAACCATACTATACTATAACGACAGGCTAGAAAGTACTAGCTTATATGAGCTGGGCCCCATAAGGCTCAGCCTAGCATGCCCAATGCTATTTTTTTCATGATTTTAAGTGGTAATCGGATTTCTGTGAATGCCAAACATAATCTTTTGAGTTTATCTTACCATATAATACAACTTTACTATCATCAGTAAAAAGTATTTTTGTCACTGTGACACAGTCCATTCCACATGCGTTTTTCCAAACTGAAGTCGTGCACCCTTGTACTCTCAGACCCAAACGTGGAGCTTTCTGGGACTGCTTGCATTCAAATAATGTGTAATCAACCGTCTACGAACTGTCACATCACTGACAGAGCGATTAAACATTTTTTTCATAATTTTTGAGGATTTTGCCTGGTCTTTCCTTCGACTATCGCCGACCATCCGCTGTACAACGAAAAATTATAATTGCTCGATGTCAGGCGGGAAGTTAATGATGACCCTGGCGCTGGAGCTTCGGTGCCTTCACTGGAACCCGCTGACGCTGCCGTCAGCATGGATGTGGAGGCTCCGTCTGCCTCGGCATCCATCGTCGACCCAGAATATGGCCCATCATCTGCCGATTCTGCCCTTCGGGTTGAATCTGGTCCGCCGGTTCTACACAATAGTTCTACCATCCCTCCTTCTATCCTAACTGCTGTCGCCCCACTAAAATCTATTTTCGTTTCTCGACTGATGGCATCGGCTACGGATGTCCTGGTCAGGGACTTTATCTTTTCTAAGCTTGACATTGATGATTCCTCAGGTCTTGTTGTCACTAAATTTAACTTTAAAGTTAAACGCAACATATCTTCCTTCAAAATACTCGTTCCTGACGAGCATGTCAGTAGTGTGCTCGACCCCTCTTTCTGGCCTGAACATACTATCTGTCATGTGTTTACCAATCGTCCCTCTAGCCCGGAACGACGAGTGGGTGTCCTTCCAACTCCATCTCCGACTGCTTTAACTTCTGTCCGTCCAACTCCATCTCCGGCAACTTTACCCCCGGCCTCAAAAAACTAATTTCACCTCTTTCCCTTAAGATAACAGATCAGAATGCTCGTGGCTTGGGCAGTAAGCTTTATAAGCTATATACTGACAGTGAATCTTTTGAGACTGATGTAATCGCTTTTTCCGAAACCTGGCTCAACTCCTCTATTTATGACTCCGAGATTCTCATTGACAAATTTAACATATATAGGTATGATCCTCCATCTCGTGGTGGCGGCGTCCTGATTGCTGTTCGTTCGGACATAGCTTCCCAAATCTTTCACTTCGAAGGGCATAATAACATTGAAATTATTGTTGTTAAGCTTTGTTGGCCCTCTTGTTATCTTTTTATATCCTGCTCTTACATTCCGCCGTCCGAATTCTCCACTTATATGCTTCACGTTTCCAATCTTCAGCCTGTTTCGTCCAAACTTAATGACTCTGATCGTCTTATAGTCCTTGGAGACTTTAACCTACCTAATATCTCATGGTCACCTTCTGTGGACTCTAACCTAGTGTTCCCATCTATTCAGCATGATTTTGCTGATTCATTGTCAGATACATCGTTGGGTCAGGTCAATGCTATATTCCATAACTTAGGTAGGCTTCTTGATCCCGTGTTTTATTCCGACATATCGAATACCCTGGTCTGCAGAGGGTCTCCTCTATCGTTCCTAGAAGCCCCTTATTATCCCACACTTGAAACTTCCGTGCAGTTGCCTCCCTGTCCAATCTCCCGTTAAGCCACCGTCTATCTTTTCCTTCAGGAAAGCAGATTTTACGTGATTGAATCTTGCACTTTCTCAGATCGATTGGTCATTTCTCGACGACTTTCATGAAATTGAGCCTACTACAAATGCATTTTATTGTTCCTTGTTCAATATCATTAATACCTATGTACCTTTAATTTCACCTTCGCGTCATTTTAGTGGCCCTATTTGGTGCCCCCGCGTTTGATAAAAGGTTCGGTCTATTTCGTCTAACCTCCTGGAATTCTCCACTTTCGTGCGTGAGGGTTTCGCTAAGCAGTCGCAAACTGACTTTAGTAAAGCCTTCGATTCAGTAAATCATAATCTGTTTATCCATAAATTATCTCTCCTAGGGTTTCCACCTAAACTTCTTTTCTGGATTAATGCATACCTTTGTAATCGATCTCAGCGTGTCTGTTTTAATAACTCTCTTTCTAAGCCTGTTTCTGTATCGTCGGGGGTACCTCAAGGTAGCCATCTTGGCTCTCTGTTGTTTAATTTGTTCATCAATGATCTTCCCCAAGTCTTAACTCATTCCCGAGTACTTATGTATGCGGATGATGTGAAGTTATGTTTCTCCTATAGCGACCCCATGTCCCCGTTATGTCTTCAATCTGATCTTGACGCCATCAACAACTGGTGCTTAATTAACATTTTTCCCCTTAATATTTCGAAAAGTAACATCATGACATTCCATCGCAGCAAGCCTTAGCTTCTTGACTACAATATCCATAACTGTTCCTTAAACCGCCTTTACAAAATTACTGACTTGGGAATTATCTTTGTACCTAATCGGTGCTATAACTCACACATATCCGCCATTTCGAATAAAGCCAGAGGCGTCCTGGGCTTTATCAAAAGATTGTCTAAGGAGTTCACCGACCCCTATACCACTAAACTTTAATATGTATCCCTTGTCCGACCTATCCTTGAATACGGTTCCTGCGTTTGGTCTCCGCATTATCAAAAATATAAGGATATGATTGAGTCTGTTCAAAAAACAGTTTATCCTTTTTGCACTTCGTGGCCTTAATTGGGACCCCTCTAGACATCTTCCTTCTTATGAGAGTAGGATCCGGCTCCTCGATATCCGCTCTCTTGAAAGCCGTAGGATTTGCCATGGAGTGCTTTTTATTCACAAACTTCTTGCTGGTGAGGTTGATTCCAGTGCCCTCAGTAGCCTTATTAGCATTTCTGTCCCTTCCCGCCCGACTAGGCATTACTTTCCGCTTCATCTTCAACTCTGTCTTTCTAATTATTCTGACCATGAATCTTTCCGTAGCCTTTGCCGTAACTATAATACTTTCTTTCATCTGTTTTCCTTCGACATTAGTTCTATTAAGGTAAAATCGTTGTTAACATATAACTTAAATTAATTATCTTAACTTAATAGGCTATAGGTTATTTCCTGACCACAACTTGCTGTGAGCCGGACCATAGCGGCTATTTTGCCAATAAATTAGTCCTATTGGGTCAGGATCATATCCATAGTCTGATAATCCATGTTCTTGTCCTTTTCATATTATGTTATAATTTTTTTAGTTTAACTGCTCATAGTTGAACCTCATGAAATAAATACAAATACAAATACAAAAGCTGACTTATATGAAACGAAAAATTATAATCATGAATACATGGCACACACACATTTACGTTACCTGAAATCTCAAGAAAAATCGGTTTCGGCAGCTAAAAATTATTCTATGCATAAAATCATATATTTTGGAGTACTCCAAACACGTGTTACTCGTGTACGGCTCGTGTCACATAGTGAGCCGAACACGGTCAATCCCAGAGTAGAACGCGATCGGCCCCTAGACCTGGGAACGTACGCTGAAAACTCAGCTGCGCCACTTTCGTTATATGAACTGGCACATCTTTATACTGTATGGCTAGTCATCTCGATCACTGCCCCAAGGGGAGTACTGGACTTGAGAGAGAGAGCGAGTACGTGGTAAAGAGCTTAGCGATTTATGAAATTGTTTCCTTCATTCTGGCTTTAATAGGGTCGGTATTTTTGGAGAGATTTTAACTACTCTTGTTCAAGTGTGATATGACACTTATGTATACTTTATCGGGTCGGAAACGCTTCCTTCTTGCTAGATCTACACAAGTCTAAAATACCCCTGTGCTCGTTGAGTACTGGATAAAAATATTACATAAATTCAAATATGCATGCAGTAAAATAAAATTTTGGAACCACATACCTGCAATAATTTTGACCTATAAGTTCGGGGAAGTCGGAAATTTCTTTCATTAGCCAGGACCATCTTAAACATGACTTTCCAGATACTGATGAATTTTGTATCCCTCTATAGCTTGAACCGTTCTCCCAATAGCATTTCTCACTTTCATCTACGTCTATAGTTATTCCCAAAGACAAACAATCTTTATGTGGTGGTAATTTTTGACAATCTTCAACTCCAACAATACCAATGACGGGATGCCTTTTGGCAATGGCATACTCCTTTTGGCAAAGCTCATTTTCTAAAAGTTCGCATTCTTCGCGACAAATACGTTTCACATTTTCAGATTCTCTTGTGGGTGGATATTTACTAGCAATGTCGGTTCTGAATACATCTTCATAAATAGTTGATTTTTTTTTTATAAATATATTTATGTTTTTTATATCTCTAGTTTTAGTCCTCTTATTTCGTGTACTTATATTGGAGTTTTTGTAACGCTTAGCATTCGTTGCGACTTTTGCAAAGTACAACAAATTCGTTCGTTCAGGAGTTCGACAAATAGGTAGCGAACTGAAACATAGACTGGGTAAGGCATACATTCGACAATTCGAATTCATATCCCTGAAAGGAGGTATCTAAATAATTTCCAAACGATTTAATAATATTTACAAAAAGCTTACTTTGATTCTTTGATTACACCATAAGCGGCTTTCAACCGTTCTTCTATGGCGTTCATAGTGAGGTTCGGCGATATAAAGACGTGTACATTTCTTAAAACTTCTTGACAAATTGTTCCATTATATAAATGACAAATTCCTGATGATTGCTGAAAACTATAAATAAAAACACCAATCATTAATATAATACATAATATAATTTTTATGTCCTAAGACTTTGGAAATCTTTATTTACTGCTGTCGGCAAGGCCCTATTTTGAACGCATAGAAAATGCGCTCCCGCGATGTTGCCGCTCACGTAAACGTGTTCGCATTACCCCACTGCTGTGGGGCCTTGGGCCATTTCAGCTTGGCCATATATTCATGAAATAAAGGATAATGGTACAATGTCTAAAAGTTATAAAATTTGTTTTTTTTTTTTTTTAATTTGAACATTGATTTTTTGCCTTTGTAAAATACTACAATTTTATTTTTATGGATCGATAAAGAACGGTTATTTATGGTAAATTTTGCCACATAACATACATTTCATATTTTAGTTTTAGTCAAATATATTAAAAAAAAGAAATATTAATAATAAACAAAGTATTATAATGCTCGTATCAATTTTTTATTTTGTAAACTAATAATTCACTTTGGAAGGAATTTCAAATGAACTAAACAATTCTAAGAAATAAATATTTGCCGAGATATGTTGACTTGACTTTAAAAATTTTTTTTCCTGAATATCTCTGAAATTTTGTATATACATATTCTTTGAATATTCTTTTAGTTAAACTTAGAAGCGCATTCTGCGGTTATGAGCGGTTTTGCTTCTAGATTAATTTAGGTGACAGAACCTCGTCCAAAAACGGGCAAAATATGATTTTATAAGTGATATTATACCACCGGCGCTTGGTTGTTTTTCGCGTGAGGTTGCTTCACTTGAATCAATATAGAACTTGACCTCTATTAGATGCGTTTACTCATATTCCACATGCGCTCATCCAGTTTTTCGACTTTTGGAACATCTTTTCGGTTCATGCCCCCACTGTGCAACGTATCAGCTTTCTCATTACATTTCCGCCCAAAACGGACTGATCGAAGCAAATAAAGTCATTATACGCAGAAATATGTACATCCTTACTGAGAACTCGGTATAAAAATCGAGACTTTTGTAGTTGTGTATGTTCGTAGATAGGTTTTCTTTTTTTACCGAAAAAAAAAATTAATTTCAGAAACAGAATGACAATGCTTTGCGCCAAACAAAAAAAATTGTTGAAAATTTTTGTAATATAACAAAACAAAACAAATAAATGTACATGGCCGAAGATACTTGCACTTCGTTGCATGTTTAAAGTATGTAATTTCAGAGACATGCGAACGAAACATGCTGATTTGAATCTGCAGTGCTCGCACACGGTTGCTAGTAATTCGGAATCGAAGGCATTAAAGATTCATGAGTAAAGCCAAAGACAATATAAGAATAAGATGCGTAACGCTCATAGATTTCAATTGCCATGTGCAAGACAATTTTTCGGCAAGCGACCAGATTTGCGACATCTCGCTCGCACAAATATGAGAGCGTACGAATCTAAAAATAGAATCCGCTTGCATGTGTGAGTACACACAGAACCAGAGAGTGCATATGTGTGCGTACTTGTGCGAAGCAGACGCTTTTTGAGACGAAAACCCTTTTAAGAGTTGAGAAACGAATTTATTTACAGTCGTTGAATACGTCGCACACTGAATACCCTAATGAAAATTATTCCAATGTGAAGTCATGTATTAAATATATATTGTATATTTATATATGTACATCCGATAACACCCCGGGGTTTAAGGGTAATGGTTTGTGTGGCTCATTAAATATGGGCGACCAACCAAAGGAGCAAAACGGGGGGGCCAGGGGGCCAGACCCTGCCCCCAAGATTTTAATGAGCTAAGGCACCCAAAAGGGCGGGCTAGTTTATTATCGAATATACCATCTTAAAAGAGAGAGTCTGGAGCCAGCTCTAAAGCCAGCCTGAAAAATTGGTGTGCAAAAATTTCGTATGGCGTTATGTATCTATGTATGTATTGTCTTTGGTAAAGCTGTGATTTTATGAATACTGAGACTTCATGCAGGGTTATAGTTTGTGCTTCATACTATGTATAACGAAATTGTAAACACAAAATAATATAGTTAGCTATTTTCAATATTTTTTAAACTGTTACAAAATGAACTGCTGCTGTTTACGCTTTTATCACACTGTCGACAGTTTCAAGTGTTTGCTGCTGCTTTGACGCTATCAAAAAAAAAAGAAAAGGAACGTGGTAGTCGCCTCTGTGGACGTTCCTCTTCTTTTATACCCGTACTAATTTTAAAATATTTTACATATTTTTTTCTACAACTGTTATATACATGTACAATGTCGATTACACATATAAAATGTAGATTATATCTAGACAATGTAGATTCTTCATCTTCTTAGCAAAGCTCGCGCATTGCACAGGGCAGAAAGTGTTTGAGCGAGAAATGAGTAGCGGAATGAGTATCGTGGTCTCGTGCTGGAGGTGGGGAAGCAACTTAAAATTAATATCTTTATTCTGGCTATAATAATTATCCGATCTATTCGTCCTTTGTGAGTGCAGAATTTAGTTGCTCTAGCTCTTATAGTCTCTGAGAACTAGGCGAAAAACACGACGGACGGACAGACAGACATGGCTATATCGACTCGGCGGATCAAGAATATATATATCTTATGGGGTCGGAAACGATTCCTTCTCTGCGTTGCACACATCCAATTTTATCACAAATCTAATGTATCCCTCAACTCTTCGAGTAAAGGTATTAAACAACTAACAACTTGCACTGTGCTGCGGCAATCGTCAGTTTTCGTTGTTTGCCTAACAACTTGTCATATTTTCAGAACAAAAAGCAAAAAAGCAAATAATCTTATTGCAAGTTTTTAAAGAATGGGTAAAGCAATCGAATGCAATAAAGCTGTTAAACATAAAATTTTAGGACAGTGGTAGAATAAGACGTCGAATACATGCTCAAATAACATAAACATACTTGAATAACATAATTTTCAAGTTTTCACTCATTTTTAATTCCGTTTTGCGCGAATTTAGTCGACGCTTGGTTTTAGTACAATAAATGCTCTTTTCTGAGTCCGAACATTTGGCGAGACTTTACCGGTGGCTAGCTATTTTCTCCTCTATGTTTTACTTTCTTGTCAATTTTTCACTAATTTTTAAGCCCGTTTGCAATAATTTTGCGATACTTGAACGTCCCAGGGTTTTTGTCCGCTAAATGCTCTTTTTTGAGTCCGCCTGCGAACATTTAGCGAGACTTTACCGGTGGCTAGCTATTTTCTCCGTTATGTTTTACTTTCTTGTTAATTTTTCACTCATTTTTAAGACCGTTTGCAATAATTTTGCGATACTTGAACGTCCCAGGGTTTTAGTCCGCTAAATGCTCTTTTTTGAGTCCACTTGTGGACATTGAGCGAGGCTTCAGTAATAGCTCACGGATTTTTATTTTTGCGATAGTTCCGCTTTACTATCGTCTTATGGTCCACTGGGGTGTACCAGCATACCGAAAGCCCAACACATGTAAACAACTTTGTGTGTATGCGATCCGTCCAGCAAAAACCGATTTGTCTCTTCTCTGATTGGTGTTACCCGACTTTTGTTATGATTTTGTTGTCTTTTCTTCGAGATTTCACTGTTCCCTTATTCGTATTTGTGTTTTTTTTTGGGAGTATTGGTGAGTGCCCTGCCGTAAGCTGACTGGTGTACATCGCTGGTGTAGTGTATATATATATATATATATATATATGTTTATATATTCAGAAGGATACACTGATAGTTTAAGGTAAAAAGATTTATCCTTCAAAACAATCAAAATTGAAATCCTTATGTTGTGAAGTCTATTTGCACCTACCCATTAATTCCAAACATAACATTACTTGCGAAAACATCCTTTTTTTTCGTTGTAAGCAGCACTAATAAAATGCTCAGAAAATAAATTAAATTTTTCACCATGTTGAGAAGTTGTACGTTTAAAAATATATTTTTTCTTTTTATTACAGTTCTTTAATTGACATATTTGACTTTGCAATGAAAATATTGTTTAAAATACATATGAAATATTCTTTCCTTAGCAGGATATTAGGGGTTGTTGATACCTTATCGATGTATCGATACAACAAAAGTTGCTCTTCAGGATTATAGCCATATGACAATAGACTTTGCTAATGGTCATATGACACTAGACCTTGCTAACTGACAAGCTGGAAATATAAAGATAGCCTTATGGGAAATGCCTGCAATCAGAGCGAGAGAACTATATGCGTCAAGCTGGTCTAGTGTCATATGGCTATTAGTATCCTAAAAAAACAAAACGGGTATGATCTTTATTTGAATTTGTAAAGTAAAAATATTTTGCTTCAAATAGGTTTAATCAATAAATAGTTATATAGAGGCAGGCCCCAATTTTCCATTTACTCTACAGGTTCACCTGAATCCCAGTTTCGCAAATTTTTTGTCATTAAACATGTCGAACATCCCTGCAGTTCTGGCGGTCATGGCATGAAAGTTTCATAGGAAAAATTGTTCGGGCGTTTGCATAGAATTCTGCTAGCGTCAACTGCTGCAGATCGAAGCGGACGCGTAAGAAAGAGAAGCAGATATCCATAGATTTCCCTCTCTCTCATATTTTTAGTTTTCTCTGCCTGCATTCGACCCTAACTCTTCTGCTACCGCTCATTTCGTCTCCTTCTCTCCGTTCTATTCTGCCAGAGTCAAATGCATTTTTTTGGTGGGAAACAAAATTAAAAGAAACTGCGGAAAATGGGCGAGAAAAACCGATTAAATGGTTTACTCTTTTGTTGCGAACGCCTATGATTTTTTTAGTTGATCGTCTATTTAGATGTTTATTCCTTTTAAAAGTTTTTTTAAGTGCTTTTAAATTCAGGTAAGTGGATTCAGTGATTACAATGTGCGCTGTTAGTTAAACGATAACAATTCATTAATTCGTTTTAAAAAAAGAGATTAAACCGTATTTAAAATATTAAAACGTTTTTTTTATAATTTCAGGAGGATTGCGATTCATATAACCCGTTCAAGTCGCGGGATAATGCTATCCGTAAAGTCGTGCTAATATTAAAGATAATTTAGTAAGAAAGAAATCAAGATAATTACTTTAAAATAAAAAAATTTAATTATATTTGAATGATGTTTTTTAAGGAACTTGTATGACATTTTCGGAAGTGATTTCATACAGGACATTTTCGGTAGTGCCACGAGTGATTTCACTCATGTCTTATACGTATAAGTTACTGGTGAAATCACTATAGAATTCAGTGAAAATTTCATATGAAGTTTCACGAGTGAGAAAAGGTGACTTGCCCATACAAATTTCACCTGGAGTTTCACAAGTCAGTCAGCACAGGATAATGCCATGAGTGATTCACCGAATGAAACACGTGTGATATGTGACTTTTGTAACTGCAGGGTATTTTCTCATGTTCAAGTTAAGCGTACAATCTAGTGTAGTGAATCTAGTGAATCTAGTTCCCAGATTAACCATATCGGGCTGCGATAGCTGCGAAAAATGGGAAAAGTCAAATGGCTATTTTTTTGGTAAGCTATCACCGTACAGTACTAGCAGAACTAGTACCAGTGGTGGCTTTGTGGATACAATCCTATCCTTAACAAGGATGTGGAATAATATTTGTGAAAACACAGAAGGCTTAAATTGCTGTTGAGTTTTATTTTTTTGATAGTGATTTTATTTTTTATCAAAAATAATGATTAAGTTCTATGTTTTATTATATGTATAACCAAAAACAATATAAGTATAAGATGCGTAACGCTCATACATTTCAATTGCTATATGCAAGCCAATTTTTCGACATTCGCGCCATCTCGCTCGCACAAATTTTTTGAGAGCGTACGAATCTAAAAATAGAATCCGCTTGCATGTGTGAGTACACACAGAACCAGAGGGTGCATATGTGTGCGTACTTGTGCGAAGCAGACGACTTTTGAGACGAAAACCCTTTTAAGAGTTGAGAAACGAATTTATTTACAGTCGTTGAATACCCTAATGAAAATTATTCCAATGTGAAGTCATGTATTAAATATATACAGGGATGCCACAGAAATCACTTCCGCTGGAAAATCACCTCAATTCCATTCCGCGGTGACACACACTGATTTTTCAGCGGAATCAAAATCACTCACAATTTATCCAGCGATTTGATTAACTACACACAAAAAACACACTTAAAACGATTCGAATCTTACTTTCCCATAAAGGTTGTTCAATTGGTGATTAACCCTCATCCAAATAATTTAACATTATACATGTTAAGTTAATAAAATAAGCATTTTAGTAAATCACTATCCAATCCGCTGACTGAATTTTCACTTAACGATTCCGCACTCAATCGGCTGCATTCCGAGGTGACCGCCACCGGACTTTCGAAGTTAATACAGTAATGCCACCTTTCTTCTTAAGCCGAATTCGGAGTAATATATTTAATATTAATTATATTGAAAGCATTCTGTTTTTCTTTAAGTAAGTATTACAAAAAATAGCTCATTGTAGTAAAACTTCCTTTACGTCAAACGTGTGCATACTTTTTGTGCAAATCGTGAACAAATTTTTAGTCATTTGTAGTTCTATTAGGTGGCATCGCTTCAAAATGCCAGAACAGAACTAACAAACCATTTCTACACATTATTGCCATTGCATTTATGTCAAAAACCTCTGTTCGGCTAAGTTCAGACCCATGGCAGCACAAATAGAAGCATAGCGATCATTATACCAAAAACTGGTAATTCTAATGAACTAAATTAGCAGTAGTTTGAGAAGACAATAAAAAAAAACACATACGTATCGTTTGAATGCGAAAACGAGTCCGATGCACATCTGAGAAGCCAGAGCTGCAAGGTTTGTATTCTAATATGTTGCCTCCGTATTTCTTCGATGGCCAAAAGGTAAAAGCATTTTAATTAAGCTTACCGTAAAATTCAGATTTCTGTTGTTTTTGAACATGCACGGAGAGTTGCCAGACAACGGCTAGAGTTGCCGAGTACATTGTTTTGTTTGACTCGCACGATATGGAGTGGTTAATGCTTTCAAATTATAAAATTACAGGTTTAAAAAATCAATTATTTTATATCATAAAAGAAAAAAAGAAAACAAATTGTTTTGATATGATAAAATCAATAAAACTGCAAAATTAACCCTATTCGAATTGATTCTTGAAAGGTGACAGCCCTAGCCTTAGTTCGAATTTGGATTGTGACAATGCTAAGAAAAATGAAATCGCTCGCAATTCTTTGGCACGGCAGAGCATTTAGCGGACTAAAACCCTGGGACGTTCAAGTATCGCAAAATTATTGCAAATGGTCTTAAAAATGAGTGAAAAATTAACAAGAAAGTAAAACATAACGGAGAAAATAGCTAGCCACCGGTAAAGTCTCGCTAAATGTTCGCTGGCGGACTCAAAAAAGAGCATTTAGCGGACAAAAACCCTGGGACGTTCAAGTATCGCAAAATTATTGCAAACGGGCTTAAAGATTAGTGAAAAATTTACAAGAAAGTAAAACATAGAGGAGAAAATAGCTAGCCACCGGTAAAGTCTCGCCAAATGTTCGGACTCAGAAAAGAGCATTTATTATACTAAAACCAAGCGTCGACTAAATTCGCGCAAAATTATCGCAAACGGAATTAAAAATGAGTGAAAACTGGACAATTCTTAAAACTATACAGTGTTCTTGGGTAGCACTAGGTAAGGTTTATAATTCCCAACTGCTTCCAGCTGTGAGGACATGGAAACCCCGATGCCCATCAGAGGCGCAGAGGTTAACCGTGATCACGAAGGCGTGTTCCTCCGGAGTGAGACTTGGTCATTGCATGTCGGCTGAGTTGACTTGTGCGATTATTCCTAATGTGAATAAGTCGTCTGTGTAAATTTTGATAGCCGGGAACGGCGTTTGCGCCGTCCCTACTTAAATAATAAATATGCGAACAAAATACGAGACAGTGCTGTCCCAGTGGACCAAAACTTCGTAAACGATATCGCAAACGTGAGTTACGCGAAACTCAAACGGGTAAAACTATCGAATTCAGATCCAAAAACGATAAGAAAATGAATCACTAGTCGCTCAGTTTGTGGCAGTGAAAGTTTCGTTTTCGGTAGCTCGCAGAAGGTATCGTTTGCGGACCTTTTATGATATCTTTTGCGAGCCTTTTATGCCATCTTTTACGATACGATTTTAATATCATTAACAAGCCGAAAATAATATTAAAAGTAGCCCACTAGTAATATTAAAAGTAAATTAAAAACGAGAAGGAACGTGTGAGTCGTTTCTGGGGACACGACTCTACTTATACCCGTACTCAGTCAGTATATACATTTTTTAGCTTATGATTTTTTAGAATTTTAGGCGAAATTTTGAAATACACTTGTAGCAGTGTGATATCACATGAGTCTGGAAACCAAATTTGGTTGCCCTAGCTCTTATAGTCTCTGAGATCTAGGCGCTCAACAAGACAGACAGACGGACAGACAGACATGGCTATATCGACTCGGCTATTGATGCTGATCAAGAATATATATACTTTATGGGGTCGGAAACGTTTCCTTCTCTGCGTTACACACATCCACTTTTACCACAAATCTAATAACCCCTTAACTCTTTTTTGCGTACGGGTATAATAATGTTTTTTGTCTCGTATTTTGTCTCGGCCAAAAATTGTAGAGCCCACACAGTATGTGTGAATACATGGCACACACACATTAACGTAACCTGGAAACGAAACTCAGAACAAACTCAAAACGGTTTCGGAAAATAAGAATTGATAAAAATTTTGTCGTGTCTGTTTACACACATACATTTGCAATGCTCAGCTTGCTTTCGCTTCCCGACATGAGTCATACATGCCGAACGGCCCAGCTCCCGACCCGAATGGCCTGGCTCCCGACCCGAATGGGCTCCCGAGGAGCTGGGACAGAAAACTCAGCTGCGCCCCTTTCGTTGTATGAACTGGCACATACTGTATACTGTATGGTTGGTGGTATAACACACATCCAAAAAAAATGAATATATGTATATAAATATATACATATTTGCATACTCTTCAAGTACCAGTTATAAAAAGAGCGAGAAGGAACGTGTGAGTCGCTTCTGGGGACGCGACTCTACTATCAGTGATATGATTTCTTAGAATTTAAAAAAAAATTTACATATTACATTTTTTTGCTACATCTGTTATCTACATCTACAATGTATATTCTACATCTAACATGTAGCTTCTACATGTATCATTTAGATTCTACATCTCCTCCACTGAAGGGCGCTCGCTCACTGAACGCGGCAGAGTGTGCGAGCGAGAAAGAGAATGAGTAGCCTGTCTCATGCAGGGTGTGGCGATGGAAGCAACTGAAAATTAATTTCTTTATTCTGGCTATAATTATGATCCGATCTGATTCAGATTCGGCAATCTGGTAGATATGATTATTCTCTACGATACTGCGTTTTTAGTTTGATCGTATCTTTAAAATTGTGCCTGCCACAGATTTTCGTCCTTTGTGGGGGCGGGGCGAAATTTTGAAATACACTTGTAGCAGTGTGATATCACATGAGTCTGGAAACAAAATTTGGTTCCTCTAGCTTTTATAGTCTCTGAGATCCAGGCATCAAAAAAGACGGACAGACATGGCTATATCGACTCGGCTATTAATGCTGATCAAGAATATATATATTTTATGGGGTCGGAAACGTTTCCTTCTCTGCGTTACACACATCCACTTTTACCAGAAATCTAATATACCCCTTTACTCTTTTTTGAGTACGGGTATAAAAACCATAGAGCAGTGTCCCAAAGCATACGAATTATTGAATAAGGGTTCTTTTACTTGCGCATGAGCTAAGCCTATGTTGACATGTTTGGCTTCTATATAATTTAACGAGTCAGCGTAACCTCTCTGAAGGATACTGCTGAAATTTAATTTTTACATTTAAAATGTATTGTGGAAAAATTTATATTTTTAGAAAGTTAAAATAAATTGTGGATGGAGTTCACTATTTTTAGGGATCTTCTTTAACTTTGAAATCGTGTATGTTGACATAATAATGCAAGGCTTTCAACTATTTATGTTACAACTGGTGGTTTTTTTTTAAATAACAAGCGTACATTAATGTGTATATGTATGTATATTTATATATATATATTACGAGGGTAACTCTGTAAGGTAAGTAAGAATGTCGTATTCCAAACCAATTGTCTTTATGCAGTGAATTGAAAAGGATTATTCAAACTTTTACTAATCTATAATATTGCTTGCTAAGGAGAAACTATGCTTAATCAAGGATGTCGATTAGAAAGTAATGCAGTCTTAGATCGGGTAGCTTTAGAAAATTTGTCTGATTTGGTGCATAAACAACCACAACAATAACAATACCAATTCCGTCGCTTTCGTATAATTAAATATGCAATACATATATTCTATAAGTAACATACATCAGAAATTTACGACTGATTTGGTTGGATTTAGCAGGATTTTATGGTTCGATTTTTGTTGCGCTATAAGTTTTTACCCTGCTTATACCCTGCAGTTCTGGCTGTCACGTCATTAAAGTGTCATAGGAAAAATTGTTCGGGCGTTTGCATAGAATTCTAGCGTCAACTGCTGCAAATCGAAGCGGACACATAAGAAAGAGAAGCAGGTCCCCATAGATTTCCCTCTCTCTCATATTTCTAGTTTTTTTCTACCTGCATTCGACCCTAACTCTTCTACTCTCGCTCATTTCGTCTCCTCAACCAACCACCAATTAATTGGTGCAATCTTTTGTTGCGAGGGCCTGTTATTTTTTGTTTTTGTGCGTCTACTTAGATGTTTATTCCTTTTAAAAGTAGTTTTTCAGTGTTTTTAAAGTCAGGTAAGTGGATTCAGTGATTACAGTGTGTGTTGTTAGTTAAATTACATTTTTACATGGGTTTCGCTAGAAAAAATATGTCTAGATTCTAGAACATTCTAGCCGCGTGGTTAACCGAGTGTTTCGCTGCGCGTGTTTTTTTTCGCTCGAGCAAACCCATGTAACAGTAAATATTGGATTTTTAATTTAAAAAAAATATATATGCAATTTGACTTATTTATTTACATATAAAAAAAGTTCGGAAGTTGCTGGAGAAGGACCCATTGTCTAGTTGCCTCAAAAGTGTGCTGGACGAAACAGTGCCCCGCCGGACTACTTCATTTCAGGAGCATTGGTGCTTATTAACCCGATCGAGTCGGTTAAGGAAGGCCCTACAGATAATTAAAAATATTTAAATCAACAAAAAATCTAGAAATTCTGTGTAAAATAAATATATTTACTTTTATTTGACACACATTTTTGGATGGCTTTTTCATATGAAATTATCCGTGAAATTCCTTTTAATTTCATGAGAGGTTTCACAGGTGATTTCATTTAGGACATTTTCGAAAGTTTCCCGTCATGTCACTAGTGAAATTTTTCATTATTTCAAATGAAGTTTCACGAGTGACAAAAGCGGAGATGCCCATACAAATTTCATCTGGAGTTTCACCAGTGAGTCACCAGTCGCTTAGGACATGCCATGAGTGATTCACCGAATGAATCACGAGTGAAAAGTGCCTTTTGGAACTGGAGGGTAATATTTTGATCTCTGTTAATGGTAGTGTTAATCAGCAAAACAGTATAAGGGATCATTTATGGATTTCTTACAATATGTTATTGATTATGATGCATAAATCAAACTTTCCATCCATCGAAAAATAAATAAAGACAAATTTTAAAAAATCTATGAATTAATACTTTGGGTCTGCAAAGAATTATTCTAATTGGACGTGACTTTTTTTTGGTGCGAGTCGCGAAGCTTCGAACCCAATTTCATTGGTTTAATTTACTCTTCGTTCTTGTGTTTCCCTCATCGTTATTACGGCACGGATCGTTGTGAACCGCGGCAAGGGCAGCGGCTCTACTTTTATACCTGGACGTTATTCAGTATATACATACTTATGAGAGCTTAAGATTTATATAACTTAAAAAATATATTTTATACGTAATTAGACGAAAGCGCCGGTATTAATATTTTAGTATCGTTAGTATGTTATTTAAAGCGAGAAATAAAAAAATAAATAAAAATAATAAATAAAAATAATAAATAATAAAATTTGCTAGCACTTATCCTGAGAGATGGAAAAAAATCGAGAAAGAGAGGAATCACGACTGGTTAGGTTCTTAGGTTAATTATTGCACATCGCTTATGGCCTTTCCACCTAAAGACTTATTTCATAAGAATTTTATAATATCCCTTTCCATTTGTCCATGCCTGTTTTCTCTGGTTTATCTGTCTCTCTTTCTGTTCTCACACCAACACTAACCGCTCTTACTCGCTCTATTCCGCCAAAGGGCGCTGGCGGAGGAAGAGTGTGTAATAGAGAGATAATGAGTAAGCCCATGGAAGTGCAGGTTAAAATGGCAAATCAATTTATTTTATTCGGACTATTATATTGATCCAGATTCAGATATCCAGGAGATGAGCACAAATGAGCACTCTAAATTCAGTGTCAGTTCAGCCGCTTTGTCATCAGTCAAGACGCAGCCGAACTTGCGAGCCCAAAATATTTTTAACTTTCTTTATGCATTGTAATGTTTTTGGTTTTTTTTAAAACAGAAAAAAAGGTTTTTTTTCGTCAATTGCGTTTTGGAAGCCGCACAGTGGGCTTTTTAGATTGCTAAATTAATTAGTTCTGAACGAAATAAGATATTTTTTACATGAAATAAACTTCATTTTGATTAAATATGGGATTTATACCTGCGATAGACCATTTGTTTTACGGTTTTTCGTGCGAGGAAATGTCACTTAAATCGATCTAGAAGCTGAACGGTTCCGAACCACAAAATGAGCTTTCTCACATATGTATGTAAAACTTACTTATGCACGCATTCATGCTGCCGCACGGCAGCAGCCTATGCAGCCG